CCGGGGGGACGGGGGGTTGGGGGGTACGAATAATGGCGCAAGTTTGGCTCGCGCGATCTCCGCAGAGCGGGAAGGGCACGCCGCAGTGCTGCCACCCGCGATGTCGTTTCTTGCCGGAAGTTACCCCCTCCCCCTTCCCTTGTTGTTTGGACCGCTCCAAACTCTCGCGCGCGCACACACACACGCCCAAAGCGTGTCTCTCTCTCTCTACTCGTCTCGCGCACACAGCGCCGTGCTGTGACGCGCCGTGGTTGCGGCCGTATTTCACTCGGTCACGTGGCCGTACGTGGGTTTCCGCGGGCCCGCGCGATGGCCTGCCAAGGTTTAGCAGCGTTGTCAGGCGGTGGCGGGGGTTGGTCGCTCGCTGGCGGCACGGCGCGGCGGCGTGGAAGGGGTTTTGCGCCGGTTTGGGCCTCGTCAGCGAAATAACTTGGCAAGAGCGGCCTGGCGGCCTGCGTGCCGCCCGCGCCGCCGCGCCCCCTCTTGCCCATCTCTCTTGGGACCCTGATCCACCAGACCACCCCCATCCCACGTTGCTCCCGGCTTCCAAAGCGAGAGTCTATCTATGCGTATGAAGCGAAAAGGGCGCTGCTGGGCCAGGAGGAGTCCCAAGGTCGCGAACCTGATAACCCCTCGCGCCTCGCGTGTCCTTTTCTCCTAGCACCCTTCCAAATGACCTCGGCCTCGGCTCCCGCGTGTGTCTAGTGCGTTTTCGGACGCGTCTGTAACGTGTGTAAGGTGTCTCTAACGTGTCTCTGAGGTGTCTCTAACGTGTCTCTGACCTGTGCCCGTCCTCTCTGTTCGCAGGCGTCGGCATCGTGCTGGTCACCGTGTCGGGCGTGGCGTGGCGCCTCACCTCCCACGACGCGCCGTCCTGTCGCGTCATGCTGGGCATGGCGAGCGGGGACGAGGGCGCCGCCGAGCCCAACCGGCGCTTCGTGCCGCGGCTGCCGCCCTCGTACGGCCGGCCGCACCACCCCTACGCGGCCATGATGTACCCCGAGTTCCAGTACCGGCCGCCGCCGCCGTCCTACCAGGCGTCCATGCAGGAGTACCGCCTCCGGCTGCTGCTGCTCGACAGGCACCCCGGCGCCGGCGGCGTCGGCGGGCCCGCGCCGCCGTCGTCCGCGGTGTCGCCGCCGCCCACCTACCGGTCGCACGCCGGCAGCCTCCTCAGGTAAGGGTCGTTCACATCATCGTCGTGTTCAGGGTTTGGGTTACCTGCACCTGTTTGTGAAAGGGTCTGACGTGCGTCTTGTCCTCTGCAGGGCTCCGCTGGGCTGCCGTCGAGAAGTGGCCGCCTCCGAGTACAGCCGCCCTCCTAGCTACCGGTCGAGATCGTCGTCGACGCGGCCCTCCCTGGAACCGGGCGGCGGCGGCTCTGGCGGCCTCGCGGGCAGCCTTGCTGGCGCGCTAGCCGGCGCCCTGGGGGCCGCGGGCCTGCACTCCAGGACGGGCTCCGTGGCCACCGAGCACTCGCTGTCGGACGCCGGGACCTGCCCGCCGCAGCCGGTCTCCGTCATCAGCGTGGGCGGCGGCGACAGCGTGAAGTGCGACCCGGACTCGGTCCAGGAGGTAAGTTCGGCGTCCTCGAGCACCTCGACGAGGACGAGGAGAGGGACTGTGGGAAAGTTGATGCTGACTGTCTTCTTCTCCGTCCCCAGGTGTTCGCCATAACGGGCGGAGATCCGGCCAGCTCGACGCTGCAGATGATGCTGCGGAAGAGCGACCGAGGGTCCCCTACGAAGGACACAAACCTAGTCACCATTGTTCAGACGAGCAGCAGCGGCGCCGTGACCGCGCCGGCCGCGCACCCTCGCACGGCCCAGGAGCGGCCGGCGCCCGTCATCGTGACGGTGTCGGGCGCCACGACCACGTCCCTGCCCGTCTGCTCGGACAACACAGAGATGGAGATCTTGGCCCATCTCTGACCGAAGTTTACAGCCCCGGTGGACACTCGGGGCCAGTGGAAGGGGGGAGGGACCACACACCTGGCACCCGTTTCCCCAAGCAACTGTCGAGGGTTGGAGGTCCTCACTAAAATCCCTGTGACCGCCCTCTCGACTTTTCACTGGCCCTACTTATGGGTATGTTCAGTGTTTTGATTGTTATAGAGAGTGTTGATGGACAGTTCTTGCAGTGTACACTGCACAGAGCTGAACTGATAACATTTTCAATCAAAATGAATTATTATATTGAATAAATGACAAGTATAAA